GCATCTGTTACAGGTGGTAATCTGGTGATTATGAGGGTTTATTGTTAGTACACTCACCAATATGAACCCCAAAAATACGGAAAAATATGCAGATTGGAGATCTCAAACCAAGGAACAGAATGCATATTTTTTCATATTTTTTGCTCTGTTTCTGACCTTTCCAGATTTTTGTATACAAATAATTTAATTTTCTGCCCAGAAAATGTTATGTTTCTTGTAGTGTCCAGACCTCGACAGCGCCGAAGACACTCTGTGGAACGAAGCGTGTCGAATTAGTGCGCTTCGAATCTTCCGTCAATGGGTCGCCGCGGATGCATTTGCTTACATGAACATTAACACTAAATTCACGAACGAAATCATACTCCTCGAACGCACTTACAATCATTATGTGCATTTCTTGTATGGTCGTAAGTACAGGAGAGAAGTGAAAGAAGATGGGAAAAATCTGAAGGACGATGAAAGAAAGAATACTCTAGCACGTAGACGAAGGGTGAGTATTATGTCTGTCTCTCAGTTGAGGGTTTGAACTGACGAGAGTGTGTGTCTAATTGCAGCTTATGAAGGCTCGTGCCTTACACGCATCCCAACACAACTTCCCATCTAGATACCAGAAGATTCTCAAGGCTACCAAAGCCCATAGTGACGATGAATGGTCGCCAAAGTTACAAGCTTATGTAGTAAAAACTCCTGTCTATCGGTCTGCTAAAGCTGGCATCTTCATGCGAAGACTGGATCATCATATGAAAATATCAGCTGAAATCAACGCCGTTCAAAAAGCCAAGCCCCGGTCACGAGTCCGTCCATGACCAGCTAGACCGTCAATCTTCACCAAACCTCCGAGAGGACTTCCAATCGACTTTTACGGCATTGATTGGTTCAATAACAGTCTTTTGGTAGCTCAAAGACTCATGATCGCCGATTGCGACAACGTCGCGCTGTTGCCCAACCCCGAAATGTCCCTCTTAGGTAAAACCCATCCTGACGAGCGAAAAAACGATAGAAAATTCACTGAAAAGTATTGGTCGGAAGCAACTAAGCTGTACGACTTGGACCATTTCAAGCACCCCGAAGAGGACGAGGATTCAGAATCGGGAGATTCAACTGAAAAGGGTAGCAGTGTTGATTTGGGAGATACTGATGGTGAAGATGACGAGGATGAAGACTTTGAAGAAGAAGAACTTGAGGAAGATATTGAAATTGAGGACGACTTGGAAGATGAGGCTGACGAGGAAGATCAAGGCAAGGGAAAAGGAAAGGCGAAGGGAAAGGGGGCTTTATTTGTGGATGATGAAGAAATGGAGGATGATTGTGAGGACGATGCTCGGGCGGCGAGATTTGATGCTTGGAATAAAGTTTGATGATATTGTCTTTTTTCATTACTTGGTTCCATCGTTGTTTTTGTGTTCTCAACTTGTCTCATTTTGTTTCTGATGTTTGTGATTCTGATCTTCTTGATTTCATTGTCGAATGAATATGTAAATAGTCAAATGGGCACTTTTGATTGGTCACCGCTTGTCTTGTCTCAGACTTTCCTTTCTCTCTCACATGTGCAAAGTGTCATTTGAAATTGAGTCGTCTTTTCATTGGAACGAGATCATTGAGCGTGTCTTGGAACGGGAAAAATATATATAAACAAATTGAGCACTCAGACAAGTCACAAAAAGAATGGATACATGTTACCAAAAAACACAAAGATAAGTGAAAAAACTCAACCCATGGAAACATCCGCATCGAGTTCCATGGCATCTTGATCGCGGTGTAGAGTTATTTCTTCCAGTTCGTCCGCCCCCACATAATCATGATCACCGGGGTTGACCCCCATTAAAAGCAAACTTGGGCTATTCAGTCCAAGGGTCCATGCAGGTAGCTCTCTATGAGCCAGAGTACTTACGACCGAAGAACCTGGGATGAATTCTTCTTTAAAGCTCTGAACCACACGGACCATACTCAATCGTTCCAACATTTGATCAATAACTAGATCCCTCGTCACATCCAGCCATCTTACCAACACAACCATTTCCTTTGTAACTTTCAAAGACAAAACATGTAGAACTTTTGCCCATAAATAATGTCCCTTGATCTCTACTTTCACAATGTTTGAAGAACCCTTCTTACTAAATCTTACACCATCACGACCGTCCAACGCTCCCACTTCATGTGCATAGGCTGAAAGGATATTTGCCCCTTCGGGGTATGGGAGTTGACGGTAGTCAACCCAAGATTCATCCTGAGCTTGATGATATTTGAGAAGTTTTTCATATATTTTGTCGTCCATTTCAAAAAGTCCACCGATGTTATGCTGAACAGGTACGGACTGGTCATTTTCAGGAGGTGCTTTACACAAAAGCCGCTGTTGGTGACAGAATCGTCGCATGATAGTTTGTGCCATCTCCTCTGGTTGTCCGGAAATTTTTGTAAGCAACATTTCTCTCGATAAGTCAATCACAGGTATATCACTTACCGACTTTACCATTTGTCTTGATCTTCTGTAAAAACCCACACAGACGTTCTCCTGGGAACTCCGAAACGCCCAACATCGGACCCCACCACACCATTTGAGTTGATGAATGAATTGTGTAATGGTGGTTCTGTTTGATATTACAGTCTTCACTAATCTCGAACGATGTCGATGTATACTCAAAGTAAGCTTGCTTGAATCTTGCTGGATCGTCTTTCTTGACCTTCCTTGCAGCCACAATGTGAGTACTGTCAACAAGTGCCACAAAGTTTCGCAACAGTTTGTTCAAGTATGGATCGGATCGATTTTCAACGAAGGCGGTGTGATCTCCAATTAGCACATCGATTGCCGCAAGTGGTATGTGTGTCGCAAATAAAGCATGCCATTCACTGGCCTTCAGCTTGCCGTTTGCTGCGGTGCCAAGGCCAGACGGAATCCGGGTTACACCCCGTGGAACCTTGATTGAATTCAAGTTTTGACGAATAACGTTGATGATATCATCTGAAAGCCAGCCTTCTCCGCTTTCCAGCGCTTCCACATCCACCTCAAAACTATCGTTTTCCAAATCGAACTTATCATGATCGACCAGAAACCTCCATCGGAAGCGAAAATGATTGGCGAGAACTCCCTCAAACCAGATGTGCATGATTCCAAGTACAACATGTTTGACGGGATCCCAATACGGCAGGCGATTTAGTTTGGACCATCGCACCCCCGTCTTATCCAGCGTTTTCTTCTGTTCAGCTGATGTTGCGGCATTCTTCCACTCATATGAGGCTCCAATCACATCTCGTCGAGTTCGTAAACGGCCCACTGCCATTTTAGCCAATTCCCTCTTTGGTAACATACACCATGAACAGAAACATTTACCTGAATGTGAAATAAATCCGGCTACTTTATGATTGGCAACGATATCGCCACTGAGATATGACAGTCGAGCGATCACATTCCGGCCTCCTGGGTGACTGTGGGTCTTGATTTGGATACCACGATCTAGTTTCAGTAATTCATCGACTAAAGGGCGAAGTATGTGACTAATCGTGGTCATATCGGGTTGATCGGGAGCCGGAACCATACCTGCCAGGAAGGTGTGCTTCATCTTTTGCCGAGCCTGTGGTGGTAGATTCAGGCATTGCAATGATAAAACCCCAATTGAGACTTGTCTCCCTGAGGTCTTGTTTCCCAACGGGTTAAACCAATCAACAAATAAAGAAAAAGCCAAGCGTAAGGGAGCATGTGAGGCGGATGTTCTCATGTCGGCGTATAGATTTTTTGCTGCAGAACTTTGGTTGTAATCATTAACTTCTTCACCGTTACTTGAACTACATCTTTCACTCCAGCTTTCAATAGAGTCTTCAATATAAGTAATTGATAAAAACCAGATCAACCATTCTTGAAAGTCTTGAATAATGAAAGTCGAGAGGGGTTTTTTGGACGGTTGTTTAACAGGAGGACGGATACGTTTTTCGGAAAGGCAAGTGATCGTCGGAGGTTCGGGTATGGCGTGACTAGCAAATAGTTTGGTGCCACAAACTTCATCCACTGGCAGATCTCGATACCCACATTCCGCTGGGGCAACTTTGGGCTCGTAGAGTGTGTAGCAATTGGTACAGCATACAAATTTTTCGAGGGTCGCTTCAAGATTCAGCCGATTGGTCATTGTTCTTACATCTTTTGGAACTGAGCTTGCCCACTGATTGTCGAGGTTGATTTGCGTACAGAGTCGAGCGATTCGCATAACATAATCTCGAGCCATTCGGCAGTTATCACGGCTCATTCTACATTCCAAGAATAACCAACTAATGAAATACATTATCAAGTCTAGATGATGAGAAGTATTTTACTCGTTAGCTTTGGACTATAAGTTTCATTGAAATTTGTAACTTACAGACTAGTTTGAACACAGTAGCGTCCTCTGGGCCAGCAATATAATCCGAACTGGAATCGGAGTCGGAAGAAGCTTCTAATTCTGGTTCGGCTTCTTTGATGCTTGCCTTTGAACAAAAATCATTGACTAAGGCCTCGAGAATGGGTGTGAGTTCCGATTTGGCAGCCATCTTTCTTCGATGATTCCTTTGTGTTCCTGGATGAATCCATAATCCCACGACTTCGTTCCCAGATGGGTCGGTATGTGTTCTTTTGATACACTCAGAACAAGTGCAAAGCACTAGTTTTGCCATCCTTGAGTAAACAGCGGTTTGATGGAAACGTAAACGAAGCAGGTGAGTTTGTTTAATAATTGAGGTTGATGATGGATCGATTAATGGATTGAACTTGAGTATTAATAGGACCGATTGTCAATAACGGTTATGAGCAAGCGGATTTAATCACGTATTCGGATTGATTGTCGATTCCAGTTGATTGTCGATCCGTCTTGAAATGTGATCGAGACAACGTTGAGGTGAGAAGAATGTGGAGGATGGTGGGTTTCACAAGATTATGGTGGATCCAAGGGTTGAGAGGCCAGGTGACGCTCCATGCAACTTTGCTGTGCCGCACCTGGTGACGCTCCAGACCGTACAGCTGCAGCATACAGTGACGTTTCATGTGATGCTTCGGCCCCGCCCCGGAGCGTCCGCATGACGCTACATAGGGAGCGTCGCCGCCTTGCCCGGGGTGCAATGAACTTACCGCATCCCGTCCGATCTGCGCAGTCAAACATTGTAGGGCCGAGTCAGTAGTGCGGTGGGGGACCACGGGTGAATACTCTGGTGCCCCAGGTATATGTTTTTTTTGCATCATAGGACAACAACTTAGTTAAATATCTTTTTTTATACAACCATTCCTTGAAACTACAATCAGAATAAGGTCTAAAGGTGTTCAATATGTTTTACATTGTTATCAAATTCAAATCGCTACTCTAACTTTGTAAAAACACACAAACGCTTAACGCATCAAATATCGATGAACAACCGACTTTTTATTACACATAGAACGAGTTAAGATAAACAAGACTTGTAGGGTATGAAAACATGCACAATGATGTGGAGAGTTTAGAAAAACATTGAAAATTCAAAGTTCATAAACAAGATTTGAAGCTATGAGCAAAACAAAAAATTTTACTTGGGATTTGCTTTTTGCGCGCTCAATAACTCAAGTACCAGTGATGCTACAGATAAACCGTGAACATATATGGAGTCAGGCATATGAGGAGCAACTATCCTGCAATTTTCGGAAAATTGATAACTTTTTTTTTTGGTCAAAAGTGTAGTGAGGTGTGGTTATTTTCATAGTGTGGTGTGGTAAATGTCAAATTGACTTATTTGAGTAGTGTAGGGTAATGAATTTCATTTTTGAGTGATGTGTAGTGTTTTTATTTTAATGATGTTGTGTGGTGAATTTCAAGTTTGTAGTGTATTTGATGTGTTTTATTAGTGTAGTGTAATGAATTTCATTTTTGAGTGTTGTGTAGTGTTTTTATTTTAATGATGTTGTGTAGTGAATTTCAAGTGTGTAGCGTGTTTGATTTGTTTTATTAGTGTAGTGTAATGAATTTCATTTTTGAGTGTTGTGTAGTGATTTCATTTTAATAGTGTAGTGTACACTGCGTCCATTGCCTCCCTTTTCAACGTCGAGAAGGGTAGAATGGTCGGAGTTTGGTTAGAGAAAGATCTTTTCAAAAAAATCGTTTCTTCCGCTCATTCTTCCGCTCATTAAAAACCTCAGCAACCCTAAGTAGCCCTAAGTAGCCTAAGCTATTTGAAAACCTGTACAGCTCAGACCCGCGGCTCGAGTTAGGTCAGCTTCTCATAAGAAAACTTTGGGATCCTTCTGAAAGCCTCGCATCTCACTCCGTCCCTAACATGTGGTAGATGTAAACAATCTTTACTAGATAGTCAAGCGGAAAAGGTTACATCCTTCGAAGCGGATAAAGTCAAGAGCACTTTGAGGCAGTTCGTGCGTAATCGGAGTGTTGTGGTGAGCTTCCAACGTGTCAATCTGTCTGCGTGTTTGTTTGTCATGACTGTCACCCCGTCTTGTTAGACGTTACAATTCTTCTAAAAATTTATGATATAAACACTGAAATTGATGTCGGTATGTCTGCTGAAAAAAGCGCGTCAGGGGGCACCAGAACGCGGCGCATGCTATGAACCAATGCTCATGGCCCTAGATAGCTATGTGGAACAATTATTGCCTGAAGTTATTGATCTGAGACAGATTCGTGTCCTTGTACCAGGCTGTGGACTGGGTCGACTTGCTTGGGAGGTAGCTGATCGAGGTACCTTTTTTACCCTTCTGATAATGATCGACCGAATCCATACAGGACTGTCATACGAGCCATTGAAAGCTGATATTGAATATCCTACCATTTACCTTGTCAGGCTATATATCACAAGGCAATGAATCATCTTATCATATGATCATGGCTTCCAACTTGGTCCTGAACAAGTTGAGTTGGAAAGTTTCATAGGATCCTCTACTCTTGAATTTCCTACATCCAATGCGCTATACGTTTCTAGTCCACACCAACTGATAATTTTTGTTTATACTTCACTCTTCTATCACTCGGACCATATGAAGTGCTACTTGTGTCGATCAATGGTCCATCTATCCTTTCATCCACTCACTTTCAAACCAAACCTGTCAGGAGAGCCTACTATCAGAATCAAATTCCCAGATCGATTGTCATCAAATAAATTCAATCATGAAGACTTTGGAATTTCCATGGGAGACTTTACTGAAATATTTACAAAGCCAGGAGAAAAAGGTCTGAAAATTCCAAAAAATAATCATGACCGGTTTTGTTGAACTTATTCATATTGATATTCTCTTCTTGAAAGACAGAAAACTGGAATGTTATTCTCACTTGTTTTTTCATTGATACTGCTAAAACATTG